CCTATCCCCTGTGTGCCTTGCCTCCCACGACTTACTTATTATATTCTATCTTGTTGTGCAAATTAACTTATTGTGTAAGTTATTCCTAAGTGTATATATGCATGTCGATGATTGGTCATACAAGTTTTTCCCTTCTGCCCCTTTGTGTGTCTGAAACCAAGTGCGTTGTTTCATTTTCTTTTCTCTTTATTTACTCATATTTATTTTTTGTTTCAAAATATTATTTAGGCTTTATTAAATTTTAAAACCCTTTTGTTTGAGTAAATCTCAAGCTGGCACACCAAATGAGGTATAAGAAAGAGGTCTTAAATGGCCTAATTTTTGTATACTCCAATTTAACGGAACCCATTTCCCTTCCAATTTAGAATTGATTTAATTTAGTTGCAAAACATAAGTAGAGGAAACTCGATCTTTCTGGCCTTTATCTATTTTATTTTTTTATCAAAATCCAGAACTTTATTAAATGGTTGAAACGAAATTACGAAATCATAAATAGAAAGAGAACCAAGAGAAACGGCCCTTTTAGCTTGCCGTAGTCCTCTGGAGGCCTTAAAGAAACCAGTAGGAGTCCCTTCTAACAATACTGAAAAATGTGCTGATGAAAGGCAATCATAGATCTAGTTTCTCCACCTCGTACCAAATCCCATCATTTTCAATATTTCTAGCATCACCACCCACTCCACTCGATCAATAGAAGAATGGAGTTTAATAGAGGAATGGACATCCAAACTTTTTAATCGAGGAATGGACTATTACTTCTGAAAAAACCACTTGTGTTTGTGTGAGTTTAATAGATGAATGGACATCCAAAATTTGGTGTTAAAATAGTTTATAGAAGAAAATTAAGAAGAAAATTAAAAATAAAATAGTATAGAGACGTGACATTGTGATTGGGGCAATCTTAGCCCTTCATTAAGAATGGACTGTTGGATAAAGGGGAGGACAGAACTTCTATGCTGTAGGAGAAACAAATAAAGCTTGCCCATTAGAAAAATAATGAGGAAATCGAGGGCATGTAAAATTGTAAATTATATGAAAACAAATGCGGAAGGATTCTTGTTTGAAGGAATACAAAAAATCTTATGTAAAGACAATATTTGCCTCCCACAAATTAAAATCAGTGTGCTAATGTTTTTACGGGAAAATTTGTCCTTGAGATCCGTAAAATATAAAGTTGATATCTTGTCTCACATGTCCAATGAAAAAGATCTTAATGATTCAACATTGCCTGAATTATAGAGAGAGAAAGTAAGTAAGAAAAGAGAGAAAATGGGTGTATATTGAAATTACAATCGTGCACTGAACAAGGACATTTTTGTCAATTTATTCCCATATTTTTTAAAAAGATATACGAGGGAAATTAATTTTAAATAATATATCAAATAAGATGATTTGAACGCCTTACATATTTTATAAAAGACACGGTTTCTATCCATTTAGAAATGAGTCACATCTTAAAAATATATTTTTGAAATGGATTTTTGAACTTAATTTTTAAGAACATTTAATCAAAGATGGATGCTATATACCTTGTGACCACATATTGTAGAAATGCGGTCCATCCTGCGTAAAACAATTTTTTTTATAAAACAATGTGGCAATTTAAAATGATATTTTGCAGATTTTTTTTACGAAAAATTGTTTCATGCGGGTTGGACCGCATTTCTACAATATGTGATCCATCTTAAATATGGATGCACATAGGTGGTCCATCTAAAAACAATTAAAACCAACCGTCCAAATAGATTTTTATTTCTTAAAATTTATATATTGATTTATATTCATGACCTTCATGTTAGATATTGTATGTCCTTAAAATTTTGATCCCAAAATCTATTTCAAAAATAGATTTTTAAGAGTCGACTATTTTCTACATCAACTCATAGAAACCATGTCCTCTTTTCACAACTTTGTTTCTTTACAATCCTGTTTTCTTATATTTTTACACAAGTTGTCTCACAGTACCTTACTACTTTCAATTATTATAGTTTGTCGCATTTCATGCTTTGTACTTACCATCTTCCAGTTCATGGGCATAGTGCTTTGGTATGTGCACTATGCATAAGGAGCATGCATTGACGTGGAAGGTCGCAAGAGTACAAAATAGATGGATTTCGGAAAGATTTCGTTTCATTAAAATGTGCATTACAATACTTATTGTTTAAGTACTTTGGTAGGTGCAAATTCATTTAATAGGGTTTATTATACAATGCCTATACTTTTTATTGCTATAATTTTTATGAAACCGAAATTCTCCAAGATCTTGACCACAATTAATAATGTAATTACTTGAGAAAACTCTTGTTGCTCTCTCTCTCTCTAGTCCATCGCCATCTGTCTCCCCACTTTAAGAACAGTATAGAGTCACCGGTTCATGTATCATGAGCCTGTAGGAGTCTACTATACACCTACTACCTCGGGCAGAAGACCTAGCTTGAAGAAATTTTTAATTTAGAATTTGGGGACTCTTTGATTATATTATCAGATGATAATTTAATGAAAAGAGTTGGATTTTCAGTTCTTAAACACCGAAGTATTGCCCACTTAAAATTGGATGGTTCCTGATCAGTCTTGTGAGGTTAATTTTTTTTTTAAGCTCACAGGAAGTTCGATTTAAATTCTTTTTACTTTTAAGTTGGATATTAAGTTCTAGATGTTACATTCCCAAATTTTGTATTTAAACAAAAAAAAAATCCATGAGCTTTACACTGAGGGAGCAAATTTGCAATATGCCCCCACCGCAACAACAAATATTTTAGCTACAAGAAGGATGTTTATTGTTTGAGCAAGAATGCCATAATTATCCTCCTTGAACGGTCAAAGTAAGGCGGATCTTCAAATTGTCTCGGAAGTGGTTTCAATGCCCAAAACTCTAACCCACGCCCTAAAAATATTTTTTTAAAACTTAAAGTTTTAAACAAGGTGTAGATCAAGCTGATCTACTGGCACTAATTATTATTTTTAAAAATTGAAACAAAGAAAATTTTCATATTCATATATCCCATTGTTAAGATCATCAATTAAATAATTTTCTAACATTGTAACAATCTTTTCTGATTTATTTTTGAAGTACACCACGTAAAAATATAAAGTGTTCCCATTATCCTATGTTGTTCAGTATAAAATGGGGCCCACTCATCTTCTTCAAAGATCAAAACAAAATTCTTAATTATATTTGTATTAATCTCATGCTGCCAAATTTCACTTCAAAAGTACCTACTACAATATAGGATCCCATGGTATACAAACCGCACTCTACACGGCATATATATAGTACACGTATTTTTTTAAGTCTCCCTCTCTATTAGTGGTGTCGTTTTACTCTCTTTGGCCACAACGTTTAGATAGATAAGTAGGAGTACAAGCCACTAATTTTAAAAAAAGTTCATTTTTTTTTAAAGTATTAATCCTAATAAAAGCCGTGACCAATTTTTTTAAAATTATCAATGCAAGTAAAAGCCGTGATCAATTATTTGAAAGTATAAAGTGGGAATAGAAACCCCGTGACCTTTTAACTGAGGCTCAAATAGTACTACCTCCGCGACCCCGGTCGTATTCTCCATGTCGTGGCCATCTCTCTCTATCTAATCTATTCTATTCTATTGCTCCTCTTATCTTAACCATCTCTCTTATCTCTCTCTACTCACTCTCTAATCTTTTATGGTAGTTATCTCTCTCTACGTATGCAAAGGTTGATACTGTTTGCTGAGAAATAATAAGAGTGCGATTAGGTAGGACGATGTTGCTCGGTGGACAACGCACGCGGGAGGGGTCCATGAGATAGATGCCCTTTCCCATAAAAAACAAGACCATAAAGAAGAGAGAGAAAATAACAAGAGAGAGAAAGATCTTCGTGTTTCCCCATTTTCAGAAAGTTTTTTTTTTTTTCTTTTTTTTTGCAGCTTTTTTTTTAGTAGATGCCATGTTTCCTGACGAAACCATCTGCCGGTCATTACCGTGACCATCCCCACTTTACAAACTCTCATACTTTCTCTCTCTAAAAGCTTCTCTCTTTCAAAAGCTTTCTCTCTCTAAATAATCCTTCCTCAAACTTGGAAACCCAACATTCATTGTCCACAACAACTCAACAACCGAAGCCAATCAAACAGGCTCTTCCATAGATACCGTAACAACAATAAATTTGGGACAAATATACAGTAAAGAACAAAAACATTGAAGTTCCTAAATAAAACCTAAACAGAAACTGAGGAAAGCAAAGTAGAGAGAGAAAGACTTGTCAGAGCTCCATGAAATCTAAGACCCACCAAAAAAAACCAGACAGAGAGAAAGAGAGTGGCAGGGTCTCTGGTGCCAGAGCTCCATGAAGAAACCCTAAAAGAGGAACAAAAGATTGAAGAAAGAGAGAGAGAGGCTGTCCTGTCTGTGTGAGGGAAGAAGCTAAAGAGGAGAGAGAAAGTGGGTGTCTATGAAAAATGTAAAATCCACTCAAGAAAAGAAACTAGAGGGGAAAAGAGAATTGGTGTGCCTGCAAATAAAAATATAAACCAACCCCAAAAACACAAACTAGAGAGAGAGATTATCTTTCTTCTCAATTCAGAGCTTGAGGGAAAGGTCAAGGTGGTGCAACTCCTCCTGCCCCTGCTGCTTCACTCTTGCTCCCCAAAATACCCCGGCAACATCCTCCGAATCCCCGACATAGCGCCCGTACTCTCCGCCAAATCTGGCTACGCCGCCCCTCGCACCACCGCCTTCCGCGGGGAAAAGCCTCCCGACTGCCGGCTGCTGCTCCATCAACCAACCCCCCTGCCGCCCTACCATACACGACCTCTGCAATATAGGCTGAACCATACACGACTTGTGTATCATAGAGTGGGCCTGTATACCCAGAACAGGAGCTGTGTGTCCAAAAACCGGGCCTCGGTGGCCTCTTTTCGCGAGCGTTCTCTCTCTCTTGTGGGCGTTCTGGTGGCCACCAAGAGCTTGAGAGCTGTAGAATTTTCTTTGGCAATAATTGCAGGGGAAAACCCTTGGTTCTCGGTCGCCTGTCGCTTCGAGTTCGGGTGAATCAGTAATCGAATCGAGGCAATCGATGAGGTTGAGCTCCGTTAAATCCATGGATTCTTGGTGGCTCCTCTCTGGCTTCGGATACGGATCGGTTCTTCCCATGCTCGACGTTTCTCCATAACTTCTTGCTCTCTCAGCCTCTTCTCCCTCCCTCATCGCTCTTCCTCTGTTTCTCTCTCTAAAGAGGTGGATCTGGGCGTTTGATGGCTAGAGAGAGGGGGTGAATTATAGGTGGAGCTATATAAAGAAATGGAGGCATTTAGTGCAAGTTTCCGAGAATGCTTGCTGGTTGATCATGGCGGGGAGTATGTAATCTCTCTGTTTTAAGAAGGGAAAGCCAAAGATAGAAAGAGAGAATGTTATCTTATAAAAAAGGAAAGTGGCGGAGGGAAGGGCGGAGGAGAGGGTTACATGGGCTGGGGTGTTTGTCACTTTCCTCATTTGCTTGGACGAACTCCATTTTGATAATGCTTCAAATTATTACCATTTATGTATGAGAGGGGCCTCTCTCTCTTATAGGAGGATTACCCTCCCTTTCCCTAATATGGATAGTGAATCTCGTTCCAACTCTCTTTCATTTTGACGGTAATATCAACGAGCTATGTAATAAAATCTCGTATTGATCTATTGTTTTTTTTGTTATTGATACAAGTAGAGTTTGCAACAAGTCAACCTAGCCCACGCCCAAGACCAACCTTCTTATTCCCCTGAAAGGTTGCCCAAAGCCCGGCTATGGCCACATTGCAAAAGGACCTGCCTTATTCCCTTAAGGGCTAGCCCAAGCCCGGCCATGGCCATAGGCACCATGCAGAAAAGAGAAAAAAATAAGGGCCCTAGCCTGACTCTGGGCCAACATTGCCCTAGGTTTTTTGGACTAGGCCAACTGGGCCGGGCCACCAGGACCATTGCCTCCCCTACATGCAACGGGAGGTCAAAGGATTTATCACCCCCTCTTATTAATATGGTAATGCTTTGTATAATTGTGAGAGGGGATTCCTAAGAGTCATGGCCCATTCTTCAACTTTCCCTCTCTATCTCTACTTTCTCTCTCTATCTCTATCAAGTGACCTTGCCTTTATTCTTGTCTAAAGGTTCTTCTTTGATCAGACCCAATTGTGTACTTGGGATGCTGTTCATAAATGATGTCATCTATGCCTGTGAGTTCGGTTGGAAAAATTATGTTTTTGTTGAAAAGAATTTTGGAGGGAATACAAACCTGAAATGAATAGGGTCAAAGCACCCCACCACAACCCCACTTAACCCTGCAATTCCTTTCTAAAACAAACAATCCTCTGTTCAAAAAGCTTTTCAATGTTCTTAAATCAAATACTTTATTTTTCCCCACTCAAAATCTCTTATCTTTTTCCTATTTCAATAGTTCCCATCTAAGACCCCCAAAGAAAAACTTTTCCAAGAAAGTTAATCCCATCTAAGACCCCCAAAAGAAAACTTTCCAAGAAACTTACTTTCTAGATCCTCATGTCTATCTTTTCTCTGCAATAATTCCATTACTATGCAAAGGGCTGCAAGTTCATACAATTCCTTGTGGTGATGAAGATTTCAAATGCTTTTAGGTTAGGACAAGGTGCTGGTTTTTTTTTTTTGTGGGAAAGTAAGTGGGAAGTGAGCCCTTAGGTAGGAATTGAGTCTAGGACGTAGCGTTGCAAATTGTCAAGCGTTAACCAATTAAGCCTAAGCTTTTTTTCTACACAAGGTGTAAGCTTTACATTGAAAAGTAAGGGAACTTGAAATCCCCCTAGAAATAGTAATTTTAGAATTGGAAATCCAATTTGAAATTTTATTTCCACTCTTGATATCTCTAAAAATAGTATAGAACTAGCAATTCTATGAACACTTAAAAAAACATAGTCCACATAACGTGTTACAATATACACTATTATTCAAGTTTGAAATCTTTTCTTTTTTTTCCATATCCACAACTGTCAAGGTTGTTTTTTATTTATTTATTTATTAATGATAAAAAAAAATATAACTCACAAAATTACAATTGTAGAATAGGGCATTTATGTTGCATCATGAAGTTGTGAAAGAGAAAGAAAATCTTATGGCCTAGTTCACCAAACAATGTCATCTAAAAAGTTGTGGCTTTCTTAATGAGTGTATCAGGCACCATATTTGCTTCACGAAAAATACAGTCTAAAGGCCAAACACGATCCGAAAATTTATGTCGGCAATTAGCCGCAACAGAAATCTATCAAAGTTTAGAAAGCAACTTGAGGATTTCCCAATATTGAAACTAGTAGGTTTCGAGGAGAAATTCTATTTTCTATTTTAAAGCCCAAACCTTAAATAAAAGTTTTCCTTTATTAATTACTTTTCATTTTTCATGCAATTCGTGATGGGAATCGCACACATTTTTATTTGCATTCCTTGAGCTTGAAGGGAATAACTTTTTAATTAATTGTAGTATAGATAACAGATTATTCCTGGATGCCATGTAAAGGAGGATTTGTCACAATCTTCCCACTATCTAAATGCACATTTACAATGAAGTCCAATTGGGCATCTGCCAATGGAGAGAGACACCACAAATCATTCCTTTCTCCTTTGGTCCTTAATTAGATGAAGGTTATCCATTGCCTCCCTGAAAATGTCAAAAAATCTACCAATGGAGAGAGACCTCATATCACTCCTCTCTTTTTGCACCCTTAATTTGACAAATATTATCCCTTTCTACCAAGAAAATGGCAAAAATTACTCTACTGGTCTTTAGATGCTTCTAAATATCATTTCATCTGCCGCAGAGGTTTGGGCCATATCATGCCAGGGATGCAACAGTCCTCATTAAATGAGCTTTTTTATGGTCTAATTTTTATTTAGCAAAAAAAAGAAGAAGATAATGGTACAAGTGCGTGACACTAAGGAAAATGGTTTGATAGGGTTGTTGCCCTATTTAAATAAGTAAATCCTCACTTCATAACTCATCGAAAATTGCAAGTCAAGCATTGAAAAACCTTTACATCGATCATCTCGACTTGATCATTATGGTTATAAAAAAAAATTATGATTTCAAGCTCTAAAAATAATGTATATTGTGACAATTTATCTAGACAGTTTATTTTGCCTTAAACATAAGTGTTCAGAGATCCGCAAGATTTGTTTTTTTTAGTTTCAAAGTTTATTTGTCAGTGTTGAAAATTAATTTTAGAGCCGTCATAGAGATTTTCATGGCTGAAAGTATTTCCGGATGAGGACCTAGAGTGGGCTCTATTTTATTTTCATGTTGCTTTGGCCTTATAGAAACCTCATCCAACACCAAAATAATTTGGAAGCGCTGCCACTACAATCTTTTATTATTCTTCTTCTTCGATTCTTTCCTATTTGGGAAATATGAGACAAGTAGTTATAGTAATTGTTTTTACCAAAGCGTAAAATGTTTTAAGGGTACGGTCAATGCAGCTTTATGATAGAAAGTAAGGGCTCGTTTGCCTCTATAGATTAACAAAGTCAGGTTTTGATTATGTCAAGCCTTGGTTAATGTTAAACCATAGTTATTCAAACATGATTTGTTTAGATGGCTTTGAATGGTACCTAAGTTACGCAAATCTCATGTTTGGATTATCTTTTTGTATAAACTGGTTTGCAATTAGGGTCATTTAGTACATATTAAAAATTTGACTAGAAATATTTACATAAAAAATATTTATATATGTAAGCAGTTTACAGGAAAATAATACTTAAGCATGTTTTTCCCCATATTAGGAAAACACAATTGGAAGCAGGCAGAGAGAGAGAGATACATCAACATGAAATTTTGAGATAGCTTCTCTCTCTAAAATATTAAAATTTTATATAGTTTCTCTCTCTAAAATTTTTGAGATAGTTTCGCTCTTTCAAAATTTAAAATTTCATATAGTTGACAATTTCTCTCTCCAAATATTTTGAGATAGTTTCTATCTCTAGAATTTTTCAGATAGTTTCTCTCTCTAAAATTTGATATAGTTTCTCTCTTTAAAATTTTAAGATATTCTCTTTCTCTCTAAACTTTAAAATTTGAGATAATTTCTCTTCAAATGAGATAGTTTCTCTCTCTAAAAAATTTTAAGTAGTTTCTCTATCTAAAACTTGAAATTTGAGATAGTTTATCTCTCTAAAAAATTTGAAACAATTTATCTTTCTAAATTTTTTTAGGTAGTTTCTTTCTCTAATATTTGTTATAATTCTCTCTCTAAAATTTTAAGATACTCTCTAAAACTTGAAATCTTGATATAGTTTCTCTCTCTAAATTTTTTGAGATAGTTTTTTTCTCTCTCTAAATTTTTTGAGATAGTTTTTCTCTGTAAAATTTTTTAAGTACTTTGTCTATCTAAAATTTGATATAGTTTCACTCATTAAAATTTTACGATACTGTCTCTCTCTAAACTTTGACATAGTTTCACTATCTAAAATTTTGAGATACTTTCTCCCTCTAAAACTTGAAATTTGAGATAGTTTCTCTCTCTAAAAATTTTCAAGCACTTTCTCCCTCCAAAATTTGATAAATTTTTTCTCTCTAGAATTTTAAGATACTTTTTCCTCTATAAAACTTGAAAATTAAGATAGTTTCTCTCTCTAAATTTTTTTGAGATGGTTTCTCTAAAAACTTTTAGGTAGTTTGTCTCTCTAAAATTTGATATAATCTCTCTCTAAAATTTCAAGATACTTTCTCTATCTAAAACATAAAATTTGAGATAGTTTCTTACTCAAAATCTTGAGATGGTTTCTCTCTAAAATATTTCAAGTAATTTCTCTCTCTAAAATTTTAAGATACTTTCTCACTTTAAAACTTCAAATTTGTTATAGTTCCTCTCTCTAATATTCTTGTGATGGTTTCTCTCTCTGAATAATTTGATATAGTTTCTCTCTCTAAAATTTGATATAGTTTTTCTCCCTAAAATTTTAAGATACTCCCTCTAAAACTTAAAATTTGTAGTTTTTCTCTCTAATTTGTGGGGAAGTTTTGGCCGAATTAATTATATTTAATAAACTATACAGCTCTAATGTGTGAAAATAGTATTATTAGAAGTTGTATTATATTGTACTCTCTCCCGTGCTTACACAAAATCTTGTTTTGTACAACCCAACTTTTTCCTTGATTTTGTGTACTCAAGTTTTGGCTCTCTTTCTTGTTTACAAAAAATATGATTGTGCCCACGAAAGTTGCCACCATAAAAGTTGCCAAACGTGTTTTTATGCAAAATTCCCCGGTATTCAAAATATGATTTTGAGTACCCTAGGATCTAAACAGCCCATAAAATCACGCACAGAAAATTACTTAAGGTGCCAAAAAATTTTATAATTGCTTGAAAGCCTATTCTCACTCTTGATTATGAAATTTGAAGCTTCAAAAATAATCCAAGTCTGGAAGATTTATTTGAAAATATGCATTCTAGATAACAAGATGCTCTACTTACAAATTCAACGTCTTTTTTAGATCATAATTGTGAAGATCGAGACAATCAATTTCAGTGTTTTCCAAGGCCAATGCAATCTTTTGTACTAAGAATTCAGCCGAAGCTTTATCGCCCTATGCTAACTCTAGTTCTAAAAAACGACTCCTAGGATTTTCAAAGAAATTCATAAGTAATTTTACTTAAATTTTTAGGGAAAAATATA